CCCAGGCTGGCCTCGAACTCACAGAGATCCGCCTGGCTCTGCCTCCCGAGTGCTGGGATTAAAGGCGTGCGCCACCACCGCCCGGCTAAATAATGTTTTCTTAAAGGAGGTATTTTTGTGCGGTGATACTGTGGTTTGAGGATGAAACATCCGCTGTAGGCTCATGGGACTCCAGCCAATGGTGCTAATTCAGAATGCTGTGGAGCCTGTAGGCAGTGGAATCAAGCTGGAGGATGTGGGTCACTATGGGGGGTGGGGGGGGAAACTCTGGGTTTCAGAGCCTGGCTCCACATCTCTCTTCTCTGCTTCCAGACTGCGGAAGCAAAGTGACCAGTCATTTCCATCTCCTGTGCCTACTGCCGCCTCTGCCGTGATGGACTGACTCCCCTCAAACTGTGAGCCAAATACGCCACCCTTCCTCAAGTTGATTTTGTCAGGCATTTGGTCACAGCAACAGGACAGAGACACACTTGTGTCATCTCTATCTGCCACACAGTCCTCTGCAGACCCTGGGCAGGGGCCTTGACACTGAGATGGGCTTTGAAGGATGGTCCACATTGGAGCAAGGAGAGGTGGACTCATCACTGAGTGGAGAGGACCCCTGTAGTGGGAACTACCTGGACAGCAGGTCTGTGGGACACCAGCACCCCACACTTACAGCAACCATGAGGGTGATGTCTTATCCCTAAAAGATAAGGTCTTACTTGGATTCTGTGGCTTACTGGGGGACCTTGGTTTACTAGGGTACCTTGGTAGTCCTTGAGCATGGAAAATGTGATGTCAGCTTGGGAAGGAACCCAAGCTAGCCTCCCGGAGAATGACAGGTCACATAGTTCCCCCAGCCCCCAATCCTGACCAGAACATCTTAGATACAAACTGATTCCCACATGTGTGTACACCCCCTCCCACCACCACCATGACTGCTGCTCAGGGGTGCATTCGTGAGCCCAGCTGAGATCAGAACTATGCAGACAATTCAGTTCACAGCAGTAACATGGGCTGAAGCTTGGCCCTCATGTGGTGATGTGAAGACGTGATGGGGACCCTGAAGAGGAGGGGGTCTAGGTGGAAGGCAGTTGGGTCATTGCGGGCATGCCCTTGCTCAACTTGGGGCTACAGTCTGGGAGAGTGGATGGCTCTAACAAGTGTTCATCTGACCTTGAATCCCTCTGGCTTCCTGTTAGACCATGTGACCTCTTCCTCTCCCCCCCCCCCAGGCTTCTGCCATGACGCAATCTTGTATACCAGGATGGCTGAGAGGGCCCTCGGCAGAAGCTGAACAGATGGGGCCACCTGACTTGGAACTTTGTCTCCTGGTAGATTAAAAAATAACGCAAAGTAACTTTCTTCTTTATAAAGTGCCTAGACTCAGATATCTTGTTACAACAATAGCCAAGAGACGCATAAACCATTTATTTTTAAAAATTATAATGGAGACCTGACCTCTTTCAGTCTTAAGATTCTTTGTATAAATGTATTCTGTCCACCATTGCCTCCCTCCTACCAGTGTGTCCAATTCCACTTCCATCCAACTTCATGACCTTTTACAGTTATTAATAACCTCATGGATCCAGTCAGAGCTGCCTATAGGTGCATAGGTATGTGGCCATTCACTGGGGCACAGGTAATCTACCAGAGATTTAGTCATGAACACAAATCCCAGCTAGCCTTTGCAAAGGCCAGATAAAATTGTTTGTGGTAGTTGATAGGGACAAAAATAATTAGGAAAGGGGCAGAGGTGGGAGAGGAGGTCATAATTTCAAGAAAGGGTCTTGTGACGAAGGTCAGATGGACTGGTGACTACCAGAGGGCAGAGGTGGTCGGTAAGGTGTTAGTCAAAGAACGGTAAAGCTTCGGTCAGGGGCTTGGGAGATGGTTCAGTGGGTGAGCACACTTGTGCAAGCACGAGGACCCGGGTTCGAATCCACAGCACTTGTGTGCAAAGCTTTGCATGGTTGTGTGTGCCTGTCACCTATTGTAGGGGTTGGAGACAAGAGGGTCACTGGGGACAGGCTCTGTGAGACTGTCTCCAGGGAATAAAGTGGGGGAGTGACAGGACAGGGCGCCCAACATCTTCCTCTGGACTCCATGTGCACTCACGTGTGCACATAGAACACTAGCTGCTTCTCCAATCTGGTGCAGCTCCAACCCCCCCCCTCCACAGCTTTTCTATAATGTCTCCACACTCCAGACAGTGATTTCCTATTATTACTTCATCTGAGGAGCTACAGTTTCAGCAGGCATCAGGGACATTCTGGCCAGGGGAAGTGTGCTCATCAGCTGCAGGCCGGACACCCTGGACTGATTCCTTCCAATACGTCCAATACGTCAACCTGGCTGAGTGGTCACAGAGTCCCATAGCTTGGGAGAGGCATTGGCTCACTGCATATGCTCCTGTGTAGGTCACTGAAGACTCGGAGTGGATCCAGCACAAGCTGGTCTCTTTCTGGAACCCTGTGTCTCTAACCCTCCCAGCCCGTTCAAGATCACCTGCAACTTCTTACCCCATGCCTGGGTGTGCATTTGTAATCCCAGTGGTGGGGAGTATCCAAGGTGGAGGTACCCTTGGAGCTCACACTGTTGACTTCTACCTCAAAGTGCTTAAGCCTAAACATGAAGGCTTGCTGACCACAGGAGCAATCCAGAAGCATTTTATGCTTGGAGCCACTGGGGTCCACCTCACCCAATCCTGCACCAAAGAGATGTGAGATGATTAAACACCACACTCAGCTCCTGGAAGCATTAGACTCACTCCTAGCAGCTCCCAGGTGGCCCGTCTTACGTCACTCACACTATTAAACGACACACTAAAGAGCCGAGATGGCTCGGGTGGTCAAGGGGGCGCCACATAAGCATGAGAACTCAAGTTCTATCCCCAGCACCCACACAGGATGCCAGGCGTGGTGGTGTGCATTTGTGATCCCTGTGGTGGGGAGGAAGCATCCCTGGAGCTCACTGGCCAGAAAGCCTGGCTAGAGGGATGAGTGCCCCAGGACCCAGTGAGAGATTGTCTCTAAGGAAGGATGGATGTCCAATGGTGAACTCTGGCCTTCACGCATGTGCACATATGTGGACTCACAGATGGGAACACATGACAAAAAATACCAATATAGATTTGTTTGTACACAAATTTAATTTTGGAAATAAGATTAGATCATAAGTTTCAGTCAGCCAAGAGCCTGGTTCATAGATGGTCAACTTCTTGGAAAGAGGGAGGGGCATGTTGTTCTCTAGCTTAGTATTTAGGTAGGGGTGTGTGTGTGTACATACACATACATGTAGTGCTCACAGAGGCAAGGAGGCAGCATCGGATCCCCCAGGAACTGGAGTTACAGGTGACTGTAAGCTATGTGTCTTGGGTGCTGGGAACCGAATCCAGTTCCTCTGCAAGAGCAGCAGGTGCTCTTAACCACTGAGCATCCCTCCAACCCCTCTGTGGCTTTTCTAAGACAATGAAGACTCCATCTCCATGTCCTTGGATGATGTCCCAAAAGCTCCATCTTCTCATCGATCACACAGGGGAGGACGGACATCACAGGAGTTCTGGAAACCCATGGAAATCCTCTTTCACAGGAGACCCATGAAAGCCCCCAGCAGGGGAAAGCCCTGGTGCTCAGGGAGGTGTCCTCTCTGGTAGACATTCATAACTGTGAGCCATCCTAGGGAGCAAGAGAGCAGGGACACGAAACAGGAGTGGAGGGAATGGACTCACAGGTTAAGGTCTTGGAGAGGCAGACTCTGAGGCCATAAGTTGGCCCAACTGGTCTCAGGATGGGTTGATGTGTACGGAACCAACGAAGCCTTATCAACGGCCATCTTAGAAGCCACTTGGATGGACCCAGACAAACGTACTGAGCTCTGTGGACCAACCATTTCCATGCAGCTGAAGCAGGTGGGCTGGAGAGCTCTTGGAAGTAGGGGCCGCCTTGATCCACTTAGCCCGGATGTCCTGAGCCAGAGATTGAAGGATCCCTCCCCCGCCCCCCGCCACCACTTCCCCAAACACACCTGGAAACCTTTAGAACCAAGTCAGGTCCCTTAGATTTAGAAGTTGCAGGCTCCTGCCTTGATCCCGGCTGCTCTCTTCTCAATTCCCGCCCCCCCCTCCACATTCTCTACCTGCTCTGAAGTTATTGGAGCCTGGTGTGAATTTAGGGACAATAAAAACCATCAAAGGACTTGGTTCTGAGAACAATCAGAGGTGGGGGGGTTTGCAATAAAGGAAAATCCTGCTAGGGAAGGTGTGACTTCAAGGGGAGCTGGGGAGGCGTGACCTTGGGGAGGGGCCTCTGCTGGGGGAAGTAGGTGAGGTCAACACGTGGGATGACTTAGGGACCATCTGGCCTGGATCCAGGCAGAGAGATGGAAAGCCAGGCTACTCTGCTGTCCCCAGGATGTCTACTTGGGACATCAAGGCATCTAGTGGATACATTGGACCCCAGCTCGGTCCTTTCTCTACATTCACATCTCACTTGGATACGCATCCTAGGTACCTCAGTTTGCTCCCTGGCCCTTGTGTCTCTCCAGTCTGTGAGTTTGTCCTTTGTATCAAGGACATCTCTGCATGTCTACATGTGTCCAGCTCGGGGTGCTGGATGGAAGATCTGACATAGCCATCTGCGGTTTCTGCCCTTGTGAATGTCCTTTGTGTGCAGAAGACCCATCTTTTCATCCGCTTTACAACAGGCTATGGGGTAGTGTTGAAGGGAGAGAACTGAGGTGGACAGTTTACAGGGCCACGGATCAGGGCTCAGCATCGCCCCCTCAGGACATTTCTAATGACACTCAAGGAGAAGAGCGACCCTTGTAGGCATGTAGCGGAAAGCTACTTTACTAGAGGGAAGCCACAGGCCCTGGGCTGTGGTTCCTGTGGCCTTTTCCCTTTGCTCACTGAAGAGGCTTCCCATATTTGAACGCTTCCTCCTGATTCTAGCTTTTACCTCAGCAAGGTCTGGTGAGTGACTATCAGTCAGCTCAGAGGCTACCTCCTCCAGGAAGTCTTCCGACTTGCATTCCTATGTCACCAGATTTCACAGCCGCCACAAACCTTGCCCCCTCCTTGCCTCAGTGGCATAGAGCTGTCACCAAGGACTTACCAGCCTGGCCATTCCAGTCAATGTAGTCCCACTCCGTGAACCGTCTTCGCTCTAGAACACCCGGGTGGGGGGTGTGGAAATCTTCTCAGACCTGGGTTCTAGCTTGGGTGTTGTGTCCCCTTGCCGGGACTCATCCACCATTATCAGACCCCAGCACCAGCCACCTGCCCTGAGAAGCCTTTTGCATTTGCTACTGCTGAGTCACCGTGTAAGTCATTGTTAAGAGAGGCAGATGCATTTCTCAAGGGGCAGGGCTGCCAGGGCTGTACAGTTGGGACCTTGGCACCATGGGAGTGCCTACAAGGGAGTGGGTAACGAGTTACATCCACATGTCCAGTGGCAGCTCAGCCTACCCTCCCCCCCCCAACACGATGAAGGCAGGGCTGCTCAGGTGGCCCACACAGTCCCAGGGAGGTTCCACCCCCGGCCCTGCTGAAGGATCTTTAAGCCATAATTGCTGACCCAGGATGTGTTGGTGCCGAGTCTATCAGGCCTTTGAACGCCAGAATTCCTCCTTGAAGTCTCGGAGCCAAAACTAATATAAACACCCCATTTTCCATTCATTCCTCTAATGCCATCAGCAAGCTGACCAGACCTGACCCTGGGCTGCAGCCGCCTCTGATTTATGGTCTCACCAACAGATGGCGTGGGCTGAGACCCGAGTTGGGTATCTGGGAAGCTGGGAGGAGGCTGGGTCAAGAGCCTCATGACAGATGCTCCAGCCCTCATGCAGCAAGGAGGTGGGAGGGTCACCGTCTTCTTGCAGGAAGAGACTTAAGCTGGAGCTTTGCTAGGTACGGGGGAGAAAAGGCAGGCTCATCTATCTGGGGAAGAAGCTGAGAAATTTTCTATATCCTTCTGCTCTCCACTGTGAAGTCATCTGAGCCTGGAAGAGAAAGTGATAAATACCAAGCAACTTAGGGAAGGAAAGAGTTTGCTGGGCTTACAGGTGTCATGAAGGAAAGCCAAGGCAGGAACTCAAGGTTGGAACTTGAAGCAGACACCACAGAGGAACCCTGTGTCACAGCTTTCTCCCAGGCTCACAAGCAAGCTAGCTTTCTGAGCCAGCACAGGCCCATCTGCCTAGGGATGGTGCTGCCCAAAGTGGGCTGGGTTCGGTTACATCGACTACCAATCAAGAAAATGCCCCGCGGCCACAATTGAGGTTTCTTCCTTTCAGCAGCTGTGCTGGCTACTTTATGCCAACTTGACACATGTGTCCCTGCCTGCAGGGATGTCCTTGGGGTCCCTACTTACTAGCTGCTTTCAACACAAGAAATCAGCCCAGCCAGGCCTTGGACTAAGAGGAGTACTTCCCCAAAATACAGA